CAAAGTGAATTACCACTTTAGGGGGAAAAAAAGAGAAACTAATTTGCCCTAAGTTTTTAACAGTCGATAAAGGCTTGCTCTACTAACCTCCCAGGGGCATTTTCATTTAACACGGGGAAGAGAATGCTTTAATTAAAAGAAATTCCCAGTGGTAGAATCTGGCATCGTGAGGTGGAGGAGGAGGCAATTTTAAGGAAGAGTCCTCCTGGAGTTCCCTGCAGGTAGCCAGTCCCACCTGGAGAAAACAGCCTGTCCTGCATGGTGAGGGTGACCTGGCGGCCTTTCCCTGTAGTGATCTCAAAGGGATTCTCTTTAGTCTGGAGATAAGAGCTTACAGCTGGGGATTCCGTGGGCCCCCTGGGGAGGGCTGACCAGGAGATGGGATTCTGGCTCTTAGTTCTACAGGGATCATGGACTCAAGAGATGCATGGAGCTACAGGGTTTCCGGTCCTAGCTGACATCTTCTAGGTGGTGATGCTGAAGTTCCAGAGGCAGGGACACCTGCTAAAGCTGGGAGCTCCAGCGCTATGAGAAGCAGTAGGATTTGTATATTTCTGGCTGACGTGGTCACTGACACAGAAGGAAACCCAGAAGTATTTGGGGGAGAAACTCCTCCTATTCTGGGACTTAGAAAGCACTCAGTTTTAGTCTTGACCGCGTGGTTGTTAGAAGGAAGGCTGAGTGGTCTTCTAGACGTGGTTCTATCAGCACGCCTGTCCCTAGAAGAAGGTGCTGTGGTAGCAGGAGGCTCAGGGGGAGAGAATAGCGTACTGTGAGGTCCCAGGGCATTCCTCTTTCTTGTCCCTGCGGGCAGTGCTTGAGACATCTACTCTCCTAAGTCCTTGGCTTTGGGGAGAGCTCACCTTCCCTTTCCATGTCCTCATGTCAAGGATGGTGGGGATGTAAAGTCCCACTGTGGTTGTGATCTCTTTACCCAACCATGTCCTAGACTGGGTAGTGCCAGGGCTGGGCATGGGCCTGGCACACGGGCAGCAGAGTGGCAGGTGGTCCTTAGCAGTGGATATGTGGGGTACTACTAGTGTCAGTGGAAGTCTAGTCTGAGAGAAAAGGTAAGGAAATGTTCCTGGAGGACAGGAGACGGTGGGTGGCATTTCGAGGCTGTGTGGTCTCTGTCTGGCAAATTTTAACTACAGGTCACTACCACCTCTGTGTGTGGTCTTCCTGTTATGGGTGGTGCAGTGGTGTGGCATGAAAATGAAAAAGAGGGCTTTCCTGCCCCCCAGCACAGCCTGTTAGTGGAACTTTTTAGAAGTTCTTCTAAGAAGAGGTTTCCAAGCAGCAGCTTGTTGAGTTAGGTTGCCTGGACAACAGGATGGACACATGCCTTGCTTTCTCTCTTCCCAGCTAGTGCTCAACAACACGCAGAAAATGACCCCAACCAGACCCAGTCAAACAGAACAGAGTCTCTGCTCTTCTGATCACTTTTAATGAAGCCAAGGGCAGCAGAATAATATACAGTGTGGTTCAGGTCACAGCATAGCAGGGGGGTCTAGCTAGTGATGACAAATCCTTTAGCGCTTTCAGTGATAATAAACAGCTCACCTGCGGCATGCATGCCATAGGTTTGCCACCACTGGAATGAGATAATTTCATTCCACATCTTGCGAAAAAGAATAATCTGTATTTCTTTATGAACACTATTCAAAAAAGAAAAACTTCAGTACATTTTGCAGGAACTAGAGACCCCACTGAAGACCAGTCACCCAGTGGGATAGCACAGGCAGTGTCTGTGGAGGGGGAAGGATTTCTTCACAGGCCCATCTTTGTTGTGGATGGTGCCAAGCAGCAACAAGGGAATGGGGTCGGCGGTGGCAGCAGTGTTTGGCAGTTCTTCAGCAATCTTCACAAATTCTGCGTTGACATGGTGGTCAGAGAGATGATGGGAACTTTCTTCTCCATGGGGTGGGAGAGCTGTCCTCCACTTGAAGAGGGGCAGGAAGGAGCAAAGGGACACAGGACCATACAGTCTTGCCCACCTGGGATGAGGAAGAGCAGAAGTCAGGTTGGGTACTATGGGGGACCAGGACTTTTAGGGATGTGATAGAGGTGGCTATGTATGGGCTGTGTACCAGGCGTAGACGGATCCTGGAATTCTTTGGGATAGTAGTGGACCAGGTTGCACTTGTCAGCGAGATGACTGGGGACCCTGAGGGATGTGGGCACAGAGACTCTGGCCAGGTTAGGAGATATGTCTCCTCCTACTGATCCAAGAGAGCCATGCTGGAGAGAGAGTACACAAGGAAAGGAATAGGGGGCCCCTTCATTTACACAGGGAATGAGGCTGGATAAAAGTGTATGGTATAAATGAGTCAGGTCTGAGTTTCTCTTTGCTTCTACTCATTAGCATATGGTCCTTGGGGTTACTTGACCTCAGTTTGTTCATTTCTAAAATGGGGAGTAACAACTGCTTTTCATACCTAGGAGACTGAAATGAGTGTCTTTTGGTATGTAAATGTTTTAGACAGCTGGTATTAACAACAGGAACTTGTAAGGGGAGGAAACAGTTTGGTGGGTCTAGATTTAGGATTTCAAAACAAATCCCTGTGGGGAGGTTTGTTCTCCAATTTTGGGCCCACCCTACCCCAGCTCCAGTGCCCTCTCACCTCAGCTGGACCACAGCCGCAGTGTCATGAGCAGGTTAAATCCAGCCACTTTCAGGAGGAAGATTCGGAGCCCCATCACTGTCAAGTTTTGAAGGTTCAGGTTCATATCTGTGAAACAGAGAGGCCAGACTGTCATGGGCATGTACAACAGAGACCTGGCCAGCTCCTTGTGATATGGGTGGCTTTCCCCAAAACAGGCTGCAGTGGGTGACTTCCTTTGAGTTTCTGTGCACTCATATTTGTGTGTTCCTCCAGGGTCAACAGTGTGGTGTTTTAAAACAAAAATACCAACTGGACTTGGTCTCTGTTTTATTTCTGAGCCCCCCTGGGGATGAGGATGGGGTAGATGTTTGGAATTTATCACCATAATCTCATGGGACTAAACCAACGGAAGGCAGACTCAGTAAGAACAGCTCATGTGGAAATAAGGGTAGGTGGCCAGGAGTGCTGGGAACTTTTCACAGACAGGACCTCTGCCTGCAGCCTGTGTGAGTTTCTTGAAAGAGGGCAAACCCCATGCCTGTGGAGGGAAAGTCCTGAGGGTGGCCTGGGTGGTTCAGAGCTATACCAAAGGGCAGGGTGTCAGAAATGTCACAGCTGGACACCCAGAAGCTCTCTTTGACTGTCCTGACCATGAAGCTATTAAAGGAAAACAAGCGGAGAAGTGAGCCACTGGCCTACTTAAAACTGGAGACTCATCCTCAAATGGAAAAGGCAATTAGATATGCTGGGAGGGATTCAAGAATGACCCCTGGCAGCTCAAAGCAGGCCTCGAACTGATGCTTCCGCTCCTCATGACTTTATTTCTAAGAAGCACTACCCTGGAGCCCTCCTCTATCCAGTTGGTGTTATTGTGATTCCCTCACCTCCCCAGTGAGAAGCAGAGCTGGGCTAGGCCCCTCTCTTACCTGTTTCAAAGCTTTCCTCTACCAACGTGGCATTACAGGGAAAGTCTAAAAGAAGAAACAAATTTTCTTAGCATCCAGAGTATACTGATTGTTCCACCCCAAACCTCCTGGTTGTCGAGCTGGTGAACACATTATGTACAGCCTTTCCTTGCTTCCTTGTGTTAAAGTCTGCAGGGACCTTCTGTGTGGGGCACCTGCTAGAGGGAGACACGGGCTGGAAGGACCTGGCAGGACCCTGCCTTCTGGGTGCTGTTTAATTCACTCAATAGAACTGGCTGTGCTAAGTATAAGTTGCACAGTGTGGGCCCCAAAGAACCATCAACATAGACTCTTTCCTTGGGTAGGTTCCAGGCTGCCCAGTAGGGCTCCAGCAGAGCCAGTGCAGAGAGGGACAGATACTTTCCAGTGATCCAAAGTTTTGATCCCTGTCCCCTAAATTTGTTCCTCTGTTTTCTCTATATCAGTATATGGGGCTATCGCTGATTCAGCTACTTGGGCAGAGAATCCAGTCACTTTCCTTGATGTTCTATTTTTCTTCCCATCTGTATAGTTCTATCTTCGAAACCCAAATGGTACTGGCCATTTGACACCCTGCTACCACTTGGTCCGGGCTGCCATCATTTCTCTGCTGCATTTGCTTCCTTTTTTCTTCTTCACCCTTTACCACCTGTCCTCCACACAGTAATCAGCTTGATCTTTTAAAAGAGTAACTTAGGAGTTGTTCTCCTGCTTGTATGAGTAGACTCACCTGAGCTGGGGTAGAACTCATCGTCTGGGAAGGCATCGGAACACTCAAAATTCGTTTTATTGCTCCAGGCCACAGCACCGTTGCTCTTAGAATCCAGGGACTTCATGTCTAGCACAGTTTTCTCAGTGTTAGACATTTCAGGCCCCATGAGTTCTGACACATTGCGATCAGAACCAAAATCGGTGAACAGGCAGACAGAGATGTCGCTGGATTTAGGATCTTTCAGCCGGTACACGGCAGGTTCCGTTTTATTAATAACTGCAGAACAAGAGGACCAGGTTAGGAGATGGTTTGCTTCCTTGTTTGCCCCAACCCAAGCTGGAGGCCAAATGCTACTGATGGATAAGAGTGGGCTCCGTGGGATGAGCCAGTCTCATTCTCAGGCTTTATATGGGAAATATCATTTTAGAAACCAGCTGCTCATGATAGACTGGGACTTAGGAACAGGCACAAGCCATGAGTCCTGGCCAAGAACCCAGAGAATGCTCCCACTGGGCTCTGCCTATCATTCTAGGAAATCAGAAATGCAGGCTACTTTACAATACTGTTCATTCTTCAACTAACAGGAACTTTCCCCAAACCTCAACAAGCCTAATTAGTAATAGCACTCTGGTGAGATAAAAGCAAGCAAAGGGGGAAGAGGAGGAGGAAGAAGAATAAGAGGAAGAAGAGGAAGAGGAAGAGGAGGAGGAGGAAGAAGAAAAGATTCAGCAAAGCAAACTATATATCTCCTCCATTTCTTCTGCACAGTGGCAGGAAATAGAGGTTTATGTTATGTTAGCCTTAAATTAGAAAATCTATACTATCACAAAGCTATTTAGTTCTCATTGGTAGTAGTTGTATCCGGAACGCAGCCCAGAACACCAGTGCCTGAGCCCTGGCTCTGCTTTTTCCTGGATATAAGGCCTCAAATGAGTCGTACCAGCCCTTTACTTCTCAGGAATTTCCTCTGTGAAGTGGAGATGTTGTCTCATCTACCTTTCTAACCAGGCTATTCTGAGAAACAAATGAGTATTCCTCCGTATCAAGTTATGCCTAATGAACTGCACGGCACTGAGCGCACGTCGGGAGCTGGAGCTGTTGAAATGCCAGAGTATCACCATGACACTGTACAGCAGAGTGATACAGTCACGGTGTCTACGCTTCATCCCAGGAAACAGGCGTGGCTGGAGGCTTTTCCTTTGTGCTGAGATTGATGCTTTCTTTAGTGTTTCTACAGGATTTTGTGTTTGTAATGTGACTCTCATTCCTTATTCTTTCTGACCTCCCCCTTTACAGGAGGAAGCAGAGGGTTGCCAGGAGTATTAACATGTTGGGGCCACCCAGTGAGTTTGCAGCAGGCCTGGGATTAGGATTTCCTGCCTCTGTGTTTCCCCGCTCCCACTGTAACACAAGCTTTCTCAGATCCCTGGGATGCACTCTGCTTGCTGAGCCTGCCAGGGTGGCCTTGGCAATGCAGACGTCCAGCTGTATCCAAAACTGAAGTGATCAGCCCTTGGTGTGGCCCCGGGATGCTGAGTCAAGGCAGAACTACTGGGGGTGAGGCCACCCTGGAGCAGCAGAGCTGGGGTGGGCTCACGGTCAGACACCCAGAGTTTAGATGTCCCTTCTTCAGTCTGATGAGGTAGTACTAGAGCTGCTTGATATTTCTAGCTCACCCCTCTACTTTTACCTCCATATACCTCTAGTACAGCCTCACCCTTTTTTCTTAAAATAAGAAATAAGCCACTTCTAATTTGGAGGTCTTTAGGGATCCATCTGCCAGAGCCCTGTGGGGTAGAGACACATCTTGTTTTATCCTGGCAAGAAAAATATATTCTACTACTGATAATATTAAAAGGTAGCCTTAGCAAGACTGGATCAGTTTTTCAGTGTGGAAGTAAGATCCTAACCTGTCATCATAATTCAAGACTAACCGCAGAAGCACATGTCTGAGTGCACTAGGCTTTCAAATCCCTGGGGGCACAGCAGTGATTGAAAGCTCCTTACCACTAAATCTGTGCTCTGCATTTAGGCGCTAGGAACCCAGAAGTGAGAGTGAGTGACAGAGATCTGGGGCCCATGGAGGCTCTGGAGAGAAACAGCATGAGCAAGGCCAGGGATTTAGCTCAGTGGTTCTGCCGCCTGCCTCGCAAGGGCAAGGACCTGAGTTCGATCCCCAGCACCGGAAAAAAAAAAAAAAAAAAAAAAAAAAAAAAAAAAAAAAAAACAACAGCGGGACCACCCCCGACAGAAAAAAAAAAAAAAAAAAAAAAAAAAAAAAAAAAAAAAAAGGAACCATCCCTGGAAAGGGCTGATCTCTCTCACTAACCATATCGTCTGCATTTCTAAATTGAATTATCAGTTTCTTGGTGGCTCTGGCCCTAATTTATAAATTCTCTTGAAGACGCTGGTATTCCTTTGCATTTCTAAGAAGATACCTTCTTTGCCTTGCTCTCTCATCTTTATTATCAGATGTGTTCACTTAGGCTAAAAGGCATGTGCCCAGTATCACACCTGCTTTCTTGTTAGTCTTTATGCCTAGAATTCCACTCTTTTCTCCCTGCACATGCAGGCTATACCAACCCTTCAGGGCTTACTGAATCCTGTCTACCACAGAAAATGATGGCGAACCTTTCAGAGACCGAGTGCCCAAACTGCAACTCCAAATCCACTTATTTATCACAGTTAAACCTGAACACTGAATACTCGGCTGCGGGGGCAATGCTGGGGCAACTTGGCTCACGTGCTGACAGAGAGGGCTCTGTGTGTCTGCTGTGGCCTGCACCCCATGGGTTCTCCATCACTGGTCTAGGGCAACTTTTCAGCCAGGAACTTTTCAGCCATCTGAATCTCCGTAGTGCCGACTGACATCATCCACGTTAAGGGTAAGACACTTTTCAGGTTGCTAATTATACAGTACTTCTGTACCTTTGGCTAGTCTTACACTATGTGGGGACAGGTCAGGTATCTATCTTAGGCTTCTTCCCACTTCGTCTGAGATCTTATAGAATAATAGCCACTTAGAAGGCATTAAAAATCCACTGCACAATTAAAGTCAAATTTTAATGTGTTTGACCCAGAGAAATACAGATAATATTCACAACTGGTAGGGATGCCTTTTCCCTTCCCAGGCTCTGTAAGACTATTCGTTACAACAACCACAGCCTCACCATAGTAATAATGGATACCCCCAAGGAAAGGATGAATGACACTGGCCGGAGAGGTTGTAAATGATTCCACCTGGGATGACTCACCAGCTATTATGGACACTTGGGTCCCTTCCCCCAGTATGAGTTTACCAGCCATTCCCCCAGTGTTCACACCACAGGTGACACCATGACAGAAACTCATGGGATCTAACTACTAAATAGGAGAGGCACTGATCTCCCAAAGGACAGTCACACTCCTAAGAGTTAGGTCTTCTGTTATTTTGCATTATGATCCCGTTTCTGGTATGTGCAGTTCTTTTCTCTTGCTCTATTCTGCTCCAGTACCTTGAGTTGAGGTTGAAAGTTCATGAGATTTCCATAAACCAAGAATTCAGTAATATCCCTTGTTCAGGGCAACAGGCCCACAAACTTATCATCTGCCTCCTTGTCTGTAAGGTCTCAGTCTAAGGGTAATGTCTCCAGAGGACTTAGTGGGAAGTGAGAGGATGTTCTGGGGACTGGAAGAAAGAACCACTTAGTATTCCAAGGGAGAGAATACCTGGGCTCAGATCAGTATCTTGGACAAAGGAGAAATACCTGTGAATTCCACCACTGTCCCACTCTACTTACTTGGCTGGATGCTCACTCTGGTCCCTGCTCCAAAGATTAGCCTGTTACCACTGCCATACCCTCACTGCAGGTTAGGTCTTTGAAGTAACCTTCCTGATGCTAATCTGCTGGAACCACTGGGCCTCATAGCACTGTCCCAAAATACTCTCGAGGTCTTGGTTTCTTAGATCTCCTGTTTCCCAAGGATGCTCTTCCCCTTTCTCTTTTCAACAATGTAAATTTCATTATAACAAGGCCATGAAAATAATAATAGTATATTAGAAAAGGGCGCACATGACTCCTTGCTATATGCAGGACATTGTCTTACACCATGATATAATGATTTGCTGTTGAGCTTGGAGGTTGTACTAAATGCACCTGTTGATGGTAGTGTCAGAATATCCCCCAGATTTGTCATCCTTTCTATTCATTTCTCACTCCATACTTTGTTATTTCATGTGACACTTGCCCTCTAAACAAGAGCCTGGGCCTAATGGGGTCCAACTGGGTAAGAGTTCATGACTCAACTCAATTCCAGAAAGAAAGGCTCTATGAGCAAGTATCCCCGATCTACGCTCCTTAGCCAATCCACAGAACTTAGCTACCTGCTGGAATAAAAGAATTTGTGCTCGCCATTAACACCATCCCCCCAAGAGCACTTAGCTAATTTCCTGGATGTTCAGATTATCTGGTGCTGATATTATTGGCTTCGCTTGAAAGCAGAGTATCTGGAACTCTTTCTATATTTCTGTAAATTATTCTGCTCAGATTTTCATGTACTCCATTGGCTCTTGTCACTTCTGACTTTCATATGAGAAGTAGGAACATCTTAGGTCACCGCGAGCACTTGGAAAAATGAAAATTAGTGCTTCACATATCCCCAAGTTTGCTATAAATCACTGCCTGTTGTCTAACAGACAATTCCTCAGTTCCTCTCACTCTGGTCAGTGGCACAGTCATACTCACGTAAGCACACAGACAGCTTGGTCCCTGCTCCAAAAGTCAGCTTACTGTAGCCACCAGATTGCTCACAGTGGAAGGATGCTTTACAGGAACTCTAACCTGGGTGGAACCACCTTGGCTGGGGCACTCACTACCTGCCCCTGCTTTCCAGTGTGCCTTTCTCCAACAACTAGAGAGAAAAGATGACTGCTCTGACTGGATCAGAAGACTTGGCTTTCTGTAATAGCTCCACCAACTTTTCCTCAGCCAGTCTAGAGCTGTCAGGCCTCACTGAAGGGCAGACATCCATTTTGGGTCCCAGTGGCTGAGGGTGAAGGTGGCCCCTGGAAGAGTGTGGAGATCAGTGCGAGATGGATCTGGAGGGGAGAAGTCACAGCCCAGTAAAACTTGGGAGAGTGTTTAGTGCAGCGACTGAGGCCCAGGAGGAGCTCTCCTTCCACAAAGCCACTTTTGTCAATTCTCCGGGGCACAGAGAGACTAAAATTGCCACAGAAATATCCACATAAAATGCATAAGGAGGGCGGCTTAACTGTGAAGGCTGTGAGAGTCAGAAGT